GGTCCATCCTAGTAAAAGTATGTTAGAAAGGACTTAATATTAAGATTTGGGTTTGTTAGGTGACTTGGTGGCAAGTTTAAGTAAGCGGGACTTTGTTTTGTGTTCTAAATTGGATACCGTTAGGAAATAGGGGTAACTGATTGGGTATCTTAATAAATCTTATCTAGAAGAAGGATTAGAATTAGGCTAAGATGTAACTAGTAAAGAAGCAATAATATTAGTTTGATATTTTCACTTCGTGCATTCCCTTTGGTAGTTTGGAGAAAATTAATGTTTTTGTCTTGGTTCAGATATAATTTGGAGTAAGCTTACTTTTGTCCTGATCCACCATAATCATGGAATGCCTTATCTGTGCTTTCTGAAATTGTTTTTGTTCAGCAGAACACCAAAGCCTAGCTGTGCCACACCAGTTCTTAGCCACACATAGACCTAAGCTGATTGAAAGAAGCCATCTACTGAGACTGCTTTTCTCTTTCTCAGGTCACAGTGATTAAGAACTTGGATTCTATAAACTCAGATGACAGTGATTAAGAACTTGGTTTCAGAACCAGCAGTTGGCGTAATGGCTATGTCCCTGGACTCCCATGTGGTCGACTGTGGTTCTGGTCCCGGACCCGGTGGCTTGAAACTCATGCCGGGCACGTGTGCATACGTGCCCAAGATCCCGAGAGGAGAATGGAGGAGAGGGGATTGCGGCGTGGCCATCCCCCCTGGGGGGTGATTTCTCGCCTTCTGTCTCTGTCTGTCTGTCTGGTGAGCACATACACTCTATAGCAAAAACTTCTTCAAAAAGAGAAAAAGAACTTGGTTTCTCTTTGATTCCAGGGTCTTCTCTTCACTAGTTATGGGATCTGGGGTAAATTATGTAACTTCTCTGTGCCTTGGTTTCTTCATATGACCACGGGGAATATAACATATCTATCTAATTGTATAGTTTGGAGAAATGAGATGATACAGGCTAAAAAGTTATTATTAAACTTAGTAAAACCTAGTTACTATAATTGTATAAGAAAAATTAAAAATAATACTGGGGCAGGAAAAGAAAAATCAGGAATAATCTGGGTAATACCAGGAAAAGTAAAGAGAAATAAGTGAGGACAGAAAAGCTCAATTATTTATTGGATGATAAAGCTGTCAATTGTCCAGTTCATTTCAAAGCACCAGGATAAAGAATAAAATTCATTAAAACATGGCGAAGAAAGAAAATGTGGACCAGACCAGTGATTTGTCATTTCAATGAGTACATATTTAACACCAGGGAGAGTGGCTGACAACTGAATAATGGAAACTATTATTCTGCACATAATATAAGGTAGACTAATTTGTTGGGTAGAAGGTTGGACTGGATCCTTTCCACTTCAATGTACTAATAGCCTCTACATTATTTATTCCTTGTTTTCATATTTCTGGCTTCTGGCTTACCTCTTTTTGGACCTAACTCTTGGAACTATCTTACCTTGTTAAGCAATGTAACACCTAATTTGTTGTTTTTCTATAAAGCAAAATACTCTAAAAGCTAGAGGAAGATTCGACCATTTAAAACAGTGGATAACTGATATATGCTGTATTGAGAATTTATTCCAGGGAGCAGACAGTGATGCAGCAGTAAAACGTGATACTCTGCAAGGTAATTCCACATGAGGAAGTTTTCAATTCAAGTCTGGAATCTCCCCTGAGTAACCTAGGTATATGCTTGCCTATGATCAGAAGCTGGCTAAAGGCTGGAGATGGATTGTGGCCATCAGGAGCTTGTTGGGGGTGTTATCTCTTTTGCTTATGGAAAAAAATAAACTTTTTCAAAAAAGTTTTTTCTTCGAAGAAAGTTATTGTCTGAAGATACTAAGGGCTCATTACTTTAGGACATCATAAAATCTTTCAAAATAACGTCCAGAAATAAATGTAAAAGTTTCACTTTAATAATGTAAAAAATGGATTTTGCAAAATGAGAATCAAGAACTAAGAATTCAGGGAACTAGCAGTTAGCATAATAGCTATGTCGCCCAACTCCCATGTAGTCATCCAGGTTCGAGTGCTGGACCCAGTGGCTTAAACTCACACCGGATGTATGTGTGTGCGTGCCCAAGATCCCGAGAGGAGAATGGAGGACAAGGGACTGCAGCGTGGATATCCCCCCAGGGGGGTGATTTCTCACTTTCTGTCTCTGTCTCTGTCTGTCTGTCTGGCGAAAGCATGCACCCTCTAGCAAAAACCTCTTCAAAAATAAAAAAAGAACTTGGTTTCTCTTTGATTCCAGGGTCTTCTCTTCACTAGTTATGGGATCTGGGGTAAATTATGTAACTTCTCTGTGCCTCGGTTTCTTCATATGACCATGGGGAATATAACATATCTATCTCATGGTATAGTTTGGAGAAATGAAATGATACAGGCAAACGCACGAGCCCTATAGCAAAAACCTCTAAACACACACACATACACACACACAACTAAGAGTTCAGCCTATAAAATGAAGAATAAGGCCTGACTTCCTTAAAGCTCCTTTTGTTGAATCAAGGTACTGCAAATCAAGATAGAAGCCATCTATTGAATTTCTTTTTTCTTTCTTTCTTTTTTTTTTTTTTTTTTTTTAGAGGGT